CATCTTCAGTTAACCATTACTACTGAACTCGCAACGCTTGACTTAAATCAACAACAAAGAAAAGTGGGAAAGGCCACTATTCAGTTGGCGTGCCGAATCTTTTTCACGTGTGTAAACAAAGGTGATAAGAGGTGAACAAATTTGCACTATCTCTCACTATAAGAAACCATAAGTAGCATGCGAAGGAGCGCATGGGTCGAGGTAAAGTTCCTTTCATTACGAGCACCTTGCCCGATGTTAACGTGTCCTCCCAAGTGGACTACACTATCAATTAACTGTTGCTGTTAATTGTACTGAACACGCCACGCGGGTCCATTGCCAAGCCACGCGGGAGGACGTCGGTTAATCGCGTGTCTGCGCAATCTCCTTCCCCGACGCTATCCCGTCATTGCTGCAAGAGTGTAAGGGCAGAGGCCACAATATGTTACACAGCCACTTACGCAGGCCCACAGGCACTGGCGCGTCCGGGCCTGCGTTTCCTGGAGGAGAGAGAGAGAAGGGGGGGGGGGGCGCATCCGTCGTAAGGAAGGTCACGCCGCACACCAGATTGAACTCCACGATGAACTGCTTCGCATCTAAAAGTGGCTCAGAAGCGTGGCGGTTTGGGCTAGTTTATAGGTCACGACGAATGTTACAGCGCGAACTCGGGACTCAAAATTCTCATAGATCTCGTCTTCTTGTCCTTCTGTCGTCGTTCTGAGTTTGCGCTATAACAACCGTTATGGCTAAAAGTGGCACTCTTTCATGTTTTGAGTATACATTCTCAACGCATGGCGTGAACAGTGCTGTAAAGCTGTATTTTGTGAAGAATGGGAGCATTCAGCACCTTTCAGTATGGCGGTTGAATGCACTGACCTATACCCCAAGAATTATGTTTGCAGGTGTCCCATCGGAAGAGCCCGCCAGTCTACCCATGAGCCATTTTTTTTCAGTTTAGTCATATGTAGGGTAAGCCTGTTGTATTACCGTTATTGTCTTATGTAGTGTTTCATACATTTATGTTACTATTATTGCTTAACAAAAATGGTTTCATTAGTATAACTTATCATTGCAAGGAACTCTGCAACAAATCCTTTGCACCAGACAGTATTGTCAAATTACCAAATAAAATAGTGTACGTTTAAGTCTATTGAGTTATTCCCGCTTTCTAACTGTATCATTGACGATAACCACTTAGCAACTTCCCAACCTTGGTCTGTGTAGACAATAGATTTCTCACCTATTGTTATTTCACAAGATATTTCTGTAATGCGTAACTGAATGATTAACTTGTTGGTGATGTGTCTAATTTATCTTGTCGTACTAATCACCTAGCGTATATCTGAAAATGTTCTGGGGGGGGGGGGATGGTGTAGCTGCTCATTCATATTTGATTTAAGTTGGTGCGTGCGCTTGTATGCGCGCGTGTATATTACACTTTCGAAATTGAAAATTTCGGGGGCTTGAGGGGAGTCGAAACTCTCCCTGTTAGCTACGCCAGTGCTGATCACCCTGCTAATATTCAGGTCCGTTTTTCTCCTACGAAGTTATTAACTGATTCATTTCATCAAAGAATAGATCCACCTGTCCGGCTGCATCGTCACAATACTCGCTACATCTGAGCTTCAATTGGCAGCTGACGATTGTTAAGCGGTAGCAGCTGTAGCATTCATTACCATTCGTGCATGTTGTACTCAACCACTGCTCCGTTTTGTAACGCCTTCAAGCATTGAAATTTTATTTGTTTATTTGTTTTGTACGCTCATTTTACGTACAAAACACAACCAGCCGCACATAATCCATACAGTTAGTCCAAACAATCCCCAAAACCTCAAAGAGAACAAAAGAAGGGCTCTAATAGGCGTGCACTAAAGAGTGTAATACCAAGATGTAAATATACGGTTAGAACAAAAAGTATAAATTTTGATACAGAAAATAAAACTATAACAACAAGCTTATTTATGCGAGTTCACTCGTGGACTTTCTCTCCGACACTGTCTTAGGGAAGAAGGAATGTTTGTAAGCAAGGATCTCTCCTAGCGAAATGAGGACTTAAAGAGTGTGTGTGATAATGAAGTGTACCCCTAGTGGGCAGGGGGGTGTATAAGAAGTGGCGTCTGTGGATAATTCATGATTAATAATGTTGTAAATTGTTCACGCGAAGCGTCCACCGGCGTGTTTTGAGCACCTCAACGTCAATTTCTATCGTGAGCTGTGTAGTTGAATTGGTGTGCTTAAACTTCGACTAAATAAGCGAACTTCTTTTTTCTGAATTATATCCTGTGTTTTAATATTGTGTTTAGCCTATAGGCGTTATGTATTACAAGCATACACTCATTTGGAAGTGATGAAAGTCCCATAGCTAAGTAATTTAGGGATGACAGGATAATTTCTAAATTTATGTGTTAGAAAGCAAAGTTTTCGGGATGCGGAGGAACAAATATTGCTAGTATGTGTGTTCCAAGATAGATTTTTTGTGAACGCTGCTCCGAAACATTTGCAATTTTCAACTTCCCTTGGGAGGCACAGGCAGCGTTTAGGTATACTTTATTGGGCTTTTCTTTGGTGTTATGCTAAAACTGACTAATATGTGCTTGTTTAAAGCGATGCCTAACCTATCGCACCATAATTGTATATTCTGCGAACTTATTTCAAGGTCTGCCTGGTCCTGTACTGTTGATATTTCCCTAAATAAAAACAATCGTCCGCAAACAATCTTATCTGTGTACCTGATGTAACAACATTGACGGTGTCATTTACTGAAAGTAAAAACAACGGATCCTTGACCCTGCCCTGGGGTACACCGGATGTTACTGGGAAACAGCTCGAGTTGAGTCAAACTGCACAAGATTCGAAGGATATGTCCTTATCCGAGAATATATAACGTTCGGAAAACTGTATTCTCCCAGTTTATGAAAAAAAATTATTATGAACTACTCTCTCGAATGTCGTATATAATTCTAACAGTTAACCGTTAACATCCAACGTTTTCGCAATTTGACGATTTGTAGTTATTAATTGCGTCGTAGCATTTTCTGAAGCTGTGCTGTCAATTGTCATTGAATTTGTTAACAATAAATTTCTTTCCAAAACGTTTTTGATGCACTTGACAATAATATGTTCAAATACTTTGCAGCATGAGAAAGATAATCATAGTGGTCAATAACTTTCCAGCGTTAAAGGACTGACTTTTTTTAAACAGGCACACCTCGAGCCACCTTAGTAAATAACGAGGAGCTCTGTACGCTATAAATAACTCTATCAATAACTTTCACATATCGCGTAAGAAATTTATTTGGGATATCATCTGGGCCACCTTTTCGTTGTTTTTGGATTATAAAGCACATACACACTACCATTGTATAAAATAATAAATTCAAGCTTGTCGTTTGGATGCGCGCCCCGAATGGAGGAACCATATCGGCCTTCCAGCAACACTCGTGAACCCTGCCGAGTCCTTTTCTGCGTCATCCACATTATTCCTAAACCCGGCGCTGCACGTGTTGCCTCGTGTCACGTGCCTTCATGTGTCTCGCGGCGCGTCGCTGACGCAAACGGTCCCAGCGGCGTCTTTCAAAACAGCGCGTTCGCAAGAGGCCGTATGTCGGAAGTCGCCGGGTCGTCCTTGAACCTCCTCTCTCTCGTGAGGCAACCCCTGCGAGCATCCGCCGCCGAAAGAGTCGGAAATAGCGCGTTGCCATGTTCTTTATTAAGAAGCCCCTCTTTTCGACAGGGTCATTGTGATGCGCTACCCCGGAGTGTAACGCTTGCAACCAAGTAGCGCGCGTGCTTTTTGCCCTCAAGCGTAGCTCCTCGGTGGGTCCTCGGCTAAACAGCCACTGCAGGTGGTACTGTCAAACGGGAAGTGCCGTCGCCGTAGCATTGCAGCATCTAAGCTTGCCTTTCTGTTCCTACTATCCGTTTATGGTACTGACGCTCACTCGGCGCACGTGCAGCATTTCCGCTTTACTCCGTTCGGTCAATTTTATCCTCTTGCGCTCCCATGAAGAGTCTGAAGCGCTTGCTCCTGACCAGGCCCAAGGTTGGCAAAAGTGACGCTGAAGTCCGCATTATTTTGAGGTGGTTTTGAGTTATATTGCATACTAATGCAGAGGAAGAAAGACACAACACGCTGCAGTTCAAAGTAACCTTTATTCCTGCCCCGCCGCGGTGGTCTAGTGGCTAAGGTACTCGGCTGCTGACCCGCAAGTCACGGGATCAAATCCCGGCTGTAGCAGCTGCGTTTTCGATGGAGGCGGTAATGATGTAGGACCGTGTGCTCAGATTTGGGTGCACGTTAAAGAACCCATGGTGGTGGAAATTTCCGGAGCCCTCCACTATGGCGTCTCTCATAATCTTATGGTGGTTTTGGGACGTCAAACCCCTCACATCAACCAATCAATTTAATTTCTCTTAAGACAACCTCAAGGAAGGCACAGGAGGCCAAGGCGAGTAGCGCCTCACCGGCGCTCCAATAGAATTTTACATTATTTCAGTGGCAGTTGATAAGGAGCGAAAGAGTGCATAGAAAAACGGAGAATAATTGGTCGAGAAATTTGTTCAGCAACATAAAGACGCTACGCGTCTTTGTTTTGCTGCAATGCTTTTATAAATTCCTAGATATTCAAACAAGAAAAGTAGTAAAAATTAGTAATTGCAAGTGATTAGGTGCTACAGTGCAGCGGTTACCAACATTTCTTAACAGTTACTTACGTTTTTTACCCTGTTTGCTACCTGCGCTAGTAAAAAGTTTGTAGCGGCAAGTATTACAGAATTTTTCCCCTTTTCACTGCCGACGTTAGTGCAGAGTTGGTGATTGTGAAGGTTTCTATAGAAGTGGAAATCCCCTCGGTCCAACACGTCTAAGCAGAAATTGGTTTTAAAATGTCCACGGACCTATAAAAAACACCTTTTCTTTTTTAGCAGGGCTGTTATGCTGTAATATCTACGCCATGTGTCGTAGATATTAACCTATCATTATTGTGAACCGGCACGCGCTCCCATCATCCTTTTCTCTTTAGGTCCCAGACGTTGGGCTTCAATTTTTCCGAGCAGAGCGCATCGGTGAGTCAAAAGCGCTGTGCTTGGAGGCAGCTTTGCAGCTGGTGTTCGAGTTGTCACGTGACCATGGACAGCCGTGGCGAGCTTCGGGCTGGGCGAAACCTACGCACCAGGACGTCGCTAAAAGTGCCTCAGTATTATGACGACGCCGCATGCCGCTGTCGAAAGTGCCTACTACATGAAGTAGGTCACTCTGACTACATACGTACACCGCCTAATTAAATGCACAGCGTAGCGCGCGATAAAAAAAAAAAACACTTTTTTCTTTGCAATTGTGGAGGTGTATCCCTTCGTGCATATTTTGCGTCCCACTCCGTACCATGATGGAACGAGGCTCGAACCAGAGCCCTCTCCGGCGCCGCCCAGCGTTCTAGGACAGAGCCTTACTGTTTTTTGTTACCAATTTAGTTACACGTAACATGCATGAATATTGGACACTCCCTGCAATAATAGACAAAACAGTGCAACAATGTCAATAGTCTACCAACGTATAATTATTTGCTATATTAGAATGCTTTCATTGACACATTCGTTACAAAATTCTCAATTTATGACGTCTGATTGTTATTGTACTCGACTAGCACGCTATATTACGTATGCTAACATGGTTCCTCCCAGACATAACGCTTGTGTATAGTTTTTGTGGGCAGGAATTTGAAGCAACGGCATGGATTCGTCTTCAAAAAAGTCCTAGAAGACAGAGTCATGCCGGTGCTGAAAATTCGTGCCCCCCCTCCACTTCGAAAAAAGACTCATACAATCGTTACGTCGGGAAGGATCCACGCTAACATGCGTATTATAACGTGGTGGTAGAGTACAATAACAACCAGGCGTCACAGGCTGAGAATTGTGCAACCAGGCGTCTCAAAACATAGGTTTTGTAACCAAAGGGTCGTCGAGAGCTTCGAAGCCTTTACAAAGGGCTCAGCCATAATCCTGCATCGTCATGAGCGACTGAATCGATCAATTTAGTGGTGGGTACCTTGCAAGCGTACTTGTATTTCTAGCTCCAAGAGAGTTTGCGACATTTTCCAACAATGGCGCTCTTCCAGCTTTTGCTGTAAGTGTGCTGCGCTTCCCGCACAGGCATAGCGTTTTTTTTTTTAACTAAGGCAATTCAAAGACGGTCTGCGCGTTTCTATACGCGTTTATACCTTCGGAAATGTCTGTTTGAACACCTTTAGCCAGGCCAAAGAAACTTCGAAGAGAAAAACACTTTTACTTCTATTAGCATTTTACTCTATCACGACACTAGAAGGCCAATTTTCTTGCGAGAAAGGGTTTGGCAATCGAGAAAACGCGCAAAAAGGGAATGCAGGTGGCGACACTTCCTCGCAATCCGCGCACGAGCCACCGTGACGTCATAGATTTTGGTGGTGTGTACTAGAGCCTAGGTAATTTTCTAATCGGTGAAAATGAGGTACATTGTTTTGTTAGGGAGCCATGCTACTTATCATACCCATTTTCTGAAAATTTCGTTAAGGCCATATGCCCGAAATACGGCAAAACATTGAGAAACTATCACATCAGCATGGAAGCGTCCGGCGGGAAATTTAAAAGTGAAACGTCTGACATTGAAATTTTGAGTTAATAATGAACGTACATGTATGATGACCAAATTGATGACACTAACGTTTTCAGAGTATAATTTATTTGTACAATCCAATTTGTTCTTTCACTCTACAGCCTCCCTTCATCGGAGAAGGTGCATGCGCTCACATGGCGACGACATATCATCAGTGATGAGCGCCACCCAGCACTTGTCTTGAACGATCACAGTGTGGTGAAGCCACAATTCGCTAAAATTTAGTGAATCCTCGCGAACGTTGTGAAAATAATAAGTTATTATGACTGTGTTTGTGGTATTTCTAGAATATGCACAACAAATAAAGCGTCACTAATAAGACACCAACAATCTAAAAATAACTCGGGTTGTATAAATGGAAGCAAAACAGAGAGGCGAGCGACTTGGTACTAATCCATCACGGCGCAAATGTAGCGCCAAAAATACAAGGACAGCACCTCCGCGGTGATCTAGTGGCTAAGGTACTCGGCTGCTGACCCGTAGGTCTGGGGATCAAATCCCGGCTGCGGCGACTGCATTTTCAATGAAGGCGAAAATGCTGTAGGCCCGTGGGCTCAGATTTGCATGCACGTTAAAGAACCCCAGGTGTTGGAAATTTCAGGACTCCTCCACACGCTGTCTCTCATAATCATATGGTGCTTTTTGGACGTTAAACCCCACATATCAAATCAAAACGACAAGGACGAGAAAGTGTACACCACAAGCGCTTACTTACAACTGGAAGATTCATTGTTTTAACAGAAAATATATAACTACACTTGATGCTTGACTAAAGCCCACGCATGCGCATCGTGGGCCAAACAAAAACCAGAACAAGAACACAGCTCCTGCACCCGCCTCCCCCCCGATCTATCCCCTTTCCTGAAGTTGTGTGACTTCCTTTTCCAATTAGGCTAAATAAAAAATGCTAACGTGCATAGGAGCCCTCGCGTTATTATGGTGAACCTAGGCAAGTTCTCGTGTTGTGCTGTCGTGGTGTCTAAAGAATATCTCCGTCGTGAAGAATCGCGCTTGGCACTGGCACTCAGTGCAGTGCATGGTCAGGTGTGTTAGGGGTTTTCCCTGCAAAGAAGACTGATGCTCTCTAAGACGTATGTTTAAACGTTGGCCTGTCTGGCTGACGTAGACACAACCACACAACAGAGCACGGAGGAAGGAAAAAGGTAAGGAGAGGCCCTGACGTCACTCGTTGTGAAGCCGAGATGAAGCCGGAAGTCGGCCATATTGACTAGGCAAATTCTCCTCGCTTGTTTACATCCGAATGTAAAGCAGAAGGCGCAACTCTCTCTCCGGCTCGGAAAGCACATGGGCTGCGCAGCGCGTGTGTCGTGATGATCCGAAACTAATGGAACTGGGCTCATCACTCTCAGCCAGCGGGACACCTTCAGCAAAATCGCTTCGTCCGAGTAATAACAGGGAGTAACAGCTCGCCGACAACGAAGCAACTTCGAGAGAACGCGCGCTAGATGCACTGACAACGGCGAGTGCTTTCACGTCATTAATTCAGCAACTGTACAGACAACACGATCGGTCGTGCGCCTTCTACGGTTGCATTCCGTCACGCGGCCGACGCAGCGTCCTGCCACTGTGTCCCGTGTTCCGCGTGAAACTCACCGGCGTCAGCATTCTGTGACCGTGGTGACTTTGAGCACGCTGCTAGTGACAGTTGAACGTGCTTGCTGTTACGTTGAGATTACATGCAATGCTGGTGGAGAGTGTACCAAGCGGAACAGAAAAGGTGTTTTAATACGCACATGCAAGTTGTTACTGTACATACACAACACGAAACTACGTAAGTACACATGGTCTTCACGACGTCTTGCTGGGCTCAACAGCGTCGTCCGTTGTCACAAGCAGGAGTACTGCTGAACCGTCACTGACCTGCAAGGCGTTCGTCGTTATTCAGCTTCGTCATGGTGCCCAACGCAATTTCGCTGAACACTAACTGCTTCATCCACGTCATCCGCCGCACGACACATGGATATGCACTTGTTTTACGCACTGTTGAAACCCCGTGATGGACAAAGGGATTTGTAAACGTTGCTAAGAGTAATGTAACAGCCAGGAGAACACTGCGTAACCAATAACGCGGCGCAGAGCACAGATATTGTCCGCCACGGCTCAGCACGAGACCTGGGGAGGCACACATTCCGCCGCCAGCCGCGGCCGCTCACTGCTAGACCAGCTCCACTGCGCAACACGTAACCATAGCAACGCCGCCATTGTGCCTAGTGAATATGGTCGCCATGATGTCATTTCCGCCACATTTTGTACGCCCTGCGCCGGCTGGGCATGCCCTCTCCTTACCTTTTTCCTTCCTCCGTGCAACAGAGTGATGCAATAGATGACGTTGGCTCCGCACGACTCGAATCTAACCTCGTGGTTAATGGAACAACAGCGATTCCCGACGTTATCAAGCTTGTTGCCGACCATTGAACATTGCCTGCTTAGCTTGTTATTAACAACAAAAAAACGACCCTCAGGTTAAACCGCTGGACTGTTTTCTTAAGCCGATGTCGGAGCGAAAATAGAAAGATAGATAGATAGATAGATAGATAGATAGATAGACAGATAGATAGATAGATAGATAGATAGATAGATAGATAGATAGATAGATAGATAGATAGATAGATAAATAAATATATTGATAGATAGATAGATAGATAGATAGATAGATAGATAGATAGATAGATAGATAGATAGATAGATAGATAGATAGATAGATAGATAGATAGATAGATAGATAGATAGATAGATAGACAGACAGACGCCAAAGGTGCTTGCTGCAGGCAAAGAAATGCTTCGCTTTATAAAAAAACGGATGGAACGCAACGGGAGAGTGAGCATTCCTCTTGCTTAGATCTCTAAGTTTCAAAACCGATTCAAATGTCAATGAAAACTCTTCACGTAACAGATGAAACTTAAATGTTTAATGTAAAGAACAACTCGCCAAACCGCATTAAAACACGAAGGGGGATTTCCTCCTCTCCTTCTCTACAGTTCGCACACACGATGCATCCTCCTGGCTCCTTATTCGCTATAAGAACCTGAAAGATGTCAACGCTATGCGCTAGAGCTTGACAAGATTTCACGCTTCTCGGCTACGCGCTGTTATCGCCACCTGTTTCGCGCAGTTGTGAATACTCCAAAAGAAGTTCGATTGCATTATCATGCACAATATTCATGCGAAACAACAAAGAACGAATGGGCGGCTACAGAGAAGAACACTGCAGGAGAGAAATCACAGTTGGTATTTCGCATATGTGGACCAGTCGCTATCTATCTATCTATCCACCTCTCTATCTATCTTTATATCTATCTATCTATCTATCTATCTATCTATCTATCTATCTATCCACCTACGTCTGGGTGCTTTCATGATCACCGCTTTAACTTTGGGTACACCAAAATTAGTACGGTAGGGTAAGATGGTTTGACGCTTACGCATAGCTGATCATGACAAAAATAGTGTCACGATCTCGTCGCATACGCCTTCAAACGCTTTCCAAAAGGCAGTGGCACATTCCCAGGGCCGGTATGTGCCACTCATGACGTGCTTATACCCAG